GGTCCTTTGTTTTGCCTGTCTCTCAGCTAGTTCTATCGATCTTTTTGCCACCAGCAAGATAGAACTAGCTGAGAGACAGGCAGAACGAAGGACTCTGATGGTGTGGTGGTGAAGTGCGTTGCTCCCTTGTAAGGACAACACCACGGGTTCGTTCTCCACCGCATACACCTACGGTCCGGAGTTTTGCAAATATCTCAGCATTATATACGAGTTATATTTCGCAACATACCCTGCCATTAAAAAGAAAAAGACAGTAAATAAAAGGGTTAATATTGATCCCATTTTCGTTCATCAGGGCTGGCAGCGGAGCATTATAATCACACAAGTCCCGACGGCAGTTTTTCAGACTGCTTCTTCTCTCCGCTGCTTCCAGTATTTTCTTCTGCTTGTACCGTTGTAGATCTTTCTGCAAAGCTCTTCTGCAGCTGGCATTTATTATTACCCGTGTTGAATGTGTTGCAGTAGGGTCAAGTTTCAGTTTCCTTCTCTTTTCGAGCAACTCCTTAGTAGTAGAGTCTTCTTTAATCTGCCAATGACGTTTGGATAGCACTTCGTTTAGGATGTTCTCGTCGTATACAGCTAAACTTTTCTTCTTGGTCGATCAGAATGACGGGACTACCGATGGGTCCAATAGGCACTATCTTCTGTTTGTCAGAATATGGTCGATCTCCGCATGAGTCATGCCGTTGGGAGACTCCCATGCCCAGCGACGGCTTTCTCTCTTCTAGAAAAACGAGTTTCCATGGAAGAGACGTGCTGCTGGCAGGAGTCCTGAGGGACGGTTCCCATTCTCATTTCTTTTTCCTAATCCAAAATTTCCGATCCTGTATTCGCTCTCGTTGGCCTTTCGTATTCTGGTGTTGAAATCTCTAACAACAAATTTATGATATGCTTTATCATTGCGGACGACTTCCTCCAACTGAAACGCATTTAATTCGTACTCATCAGCTGCGTCGGTCGGTGAGTAGCAGTGATGACAGTGATCTTCTTATGATGAGACAGATGAAGACGGAGGACGGCTATGCGAGGGCAAAGGATCACGTATGAGTAGACGAGGTGGACGACAAAGCCTACGCCACCGACAATTCGTGGCGGGATCTTTTCTCCACGGATCATAAGGGTCCCCTTGTTTAGTTGGCGTATGTCGGTCTTGATTTTTGTTTCTTGTAACGCGATCACATGAAATTTAATTCGATCTGCGACTACAGGAAGGTCGTGAAGAACGGCGTCTGTGGAGAGCGTTCTGGCATTATACGTGCATAGTAAGAAACAATCTCCATGACGTGTCGTGCGTGTGTTCGTCAGATTTGGTTCCAGTGACGTCCTGCGTAATCAGAGATTTTCTGGCCCCTCACCGCCTAACGTCATAGACGGCACCCAGTGTGCGGGGTACTGAGGCTGGCCTATTGCTGGTCGTGCAACTTGGTCCTCCCTGGAGTCCTGACGTAACCTTGCAAGGGTGTATCTAGGTCTTCACCACGATGCCGATCAGAGGAGCTGTGTTTTCGGCGACGAGTCCTTTCCTCGGTCTTCCCACTAGTTGATTCGAAGAGATGTTAAAACTGAAATTAGAAACGAAAGTAGGAATGTGAAGGTAACCGACCGCTCAAGGATGATGTAGGAGCCTAATCTACCATAATGTTACAAATCCTGAGAAAATTACCCCAATAGAAAGAAACTTCCAAGGAACCTGTAAGTCCAAAATGATGCAGAGTATTCATCTAGTATTGGTCAATAGAAAGATCTATTCTTAGGCGACGAAGCTCCACGAATAACCCTGCTGAAAATCCCTTCGAAAATTCGTCGGTTTCAAAACCGTTGAAGTAAACAGACCTACAAATTTTTTACAAAATATGTAGAACGGCTCTTGCCTTAACCTTATATTAACCTTATAACTGAACTAACCTTAACTAAACCTTAAGTAATCTTATCTAATTAAATAACTTTTTTTTAGCGCCTATTCTTTCTGCATGGCTGAGTATTATGGGAGATACAACCACAAAGATACTGAGATATGAGCGAAACTCGAATCCTGGTTCTTACTTAAAATAAAAAAGTTACTTTCGAGAAAACTTTTCCCACTTATAGCATTTAGAATTTAAACCTCAAAGTCTACCACGGTATTTTCACAAACTAAAACTTAACCTTTAATTTGCTTCTCACAACGCCTAACCCTCAGCGAAACGTGAACTACCGATGTAAGGAGTAGTTCGAAATATTGTACCTGCACGAAAGCAATTTGATGTGCCAACAAACAATTTTTACAATACAACTACGAGTTACGGAGATATCCCTACTATCGTTAAAAACATTTTCGCACATTGTCGTCTCCCAACTGCGTCAATAGCACTGAACAGGAAGAGAGCATTTATCGATGAAAACAATAAAAAAACCTTAAAACGTCACAAAACTTAATAGGATCGAGCCTACCACAATTATTCAGATGTTATGCAAAAAGCTCGTAAAAAAGTTCAAAGCATACAAAGTAGTGGACACAGAAAGCACCAAGAAAGCCTGATAATGCTGAGATCATACCCCTTCAATTAAAGACTGCCCATGCATGCGTTTTGTGTCTCAAAACGTACACTACGATGTTATACGTCAAAGCTCTTTTTATCCAAATCCCCAGTATGTATGGTGGTCTTCGTCGCGCTCATTTATCGCATAGCTGAGCTGCATAAGGGTTACTGCAGTCATCCCCCTCGAGTAATACACGCATCAAGCATTCGACAGATATCATGATGGAAGTCGATTTTGCCGCGCTCTAGCCTCTGACGCACTCCTCGATTCGTATATAGTTGCAAGGAAGTTCGACCCGAACAAGATTGTGCTGTACGCTGACACCTTTGATGAGGACGTGGAATGGCACCTCGGGAATAGAGTGGATGAGTTCCAGCACCTCAGCGTCACCGCTGCACAATGGCACCATCAGCAGAGAGTGTGGGAAGATCTAGATGGTCTCAAATGGTCATAATACTTACGCAGTACTTCGCGGCACCACGTGATACGGCACGGAAAAGTAAACTAAATCAGCAAATGTACGAAGTGAATGCACAATCGAATAATCTGCTAACAAAATAATGGTAAAAATAGATCTAAAATCTAGGAATCTAATAAGCAAAGAAATGACCAGACAAAAATATTGGTTTCTCAGGTATAGCAGCACATGTACAATTTTAAGGAGAGGCAAACTACCCAGAGATATGTTTCTCGCTATTGCTGGTTCCTCGGATTAAGACTCTCCTACCTTAACAGCTATGAGTAGTGGCATTACAAAGAAGAGAGCTCCAACGGCTAGCCGTAGTGAATAGAAAGCTGTGAAAAAGTCAACTGAGTTAAAACTTTATGCAGTTAATCAGTTAAGTGAGGTTAATTGAGGATATGATAAGTAAAATATCGATTCAACATAAGGCCTGAATATGTTTTATTACCATTGAAAGATATGAAGGAGAAGTTACAAAATAAACAGAACTGAGACAACAACTTGAGTGGCTACCGTCGTGTATAACCACTCATCTATGAATGTGGAGAGAAGAAAATATCGGCGGAAAAACATGATGGAAAACAAAAAAAAGTTGCTGACAAAGGCCTGAGCAGAACGGTGGAAACCAAAAACTGACACCACGACGATGAAATTAAACTACACCAGTTCTCGCTCATAAGAGCTGAAATAGTAGTGGAAAGAGATTGCCTTAGATTGATCATTGGTTCTGTTGTTCTTTTACGCCTTCATGTCGACTTTGAAATCATAGAGCAGTTCCGAAGGGCAATGGAATTCTGTTGTACTAATTAAAAGAAGAAAAGCTAAAGGTAACAGAAGAAGAGAAATGAATAAACTTCAAAATTTTTGGAAACGTGATAGACATCTAAAAACCGAAAAAGAGGTCTAACGTTAGCGAGGACTTACCAAGCATGACGATGAGGATGAACACGACCGAGACGCGCCGTTCATGGTGCGGCACCTCCGGCTCGAGCTCTTCGGCCAGGGCTCGCGTGTCTTCGGACGGACCTCCGCCATGCTCCGAGATGTGTGTCTGGATTTCGGAGATATCTGAACGATCCTAGAAATCTGCCAAATGATTCAATTCTTTGGAATAATCCATTCCTTAAATTTACATAGAAATTGGAAGCACATTTGAGGTGGATCGATGTTACCCCTAACAAATTAGTGCTCAATCATTTCTGCAGGAATGCAAATTTAAACCCCTTCAAAAATCTTACGGCTACCTATTGCCAAGAACAATCAAAAAAAGTGCACTCCAAAAGTCCCTTGAGTGCAACCCACTGGAGAGTTCTGCTGCACAAAGCGGATAAGTGAACAATTTTTGGGGCTCGCTTAAAACGCAGGGTTACTGGCGATATCGCTGATTCGTCGGAATCAAAGTTGCGCGAAGGATCGATTTAGTGGAGCGTGGATGCTTGTTTCTTTTTAGCTAGAGAGTACACAAAATGGACGGAAGACATTAGAGCATGTCTTCCACTGGAACACAAACGGTCTCCACGGTCCGCCAAAATTCTGATGACGCAGAGATGGATAAAAATTATAAGACTCACTGAAATAAACTGAATGATACTTTTTCATGAGGTAATTCCTCGTTCGAAACAACTAACACAAATCCAATTCTTTAGCCGAGGGTTAGGCCAATTCAAAGAGGTCCTGTGAAAAATCTGCTTGCTAGTCACTGTGTTCTTACCTCTTGCCTTAACGCTAGGGGAAGAATGTTATAATTTTTCACAAAATGGTAGCTCTTGCAGGACAAACATACATATTTATTAGGCGCGGAGTGTGCTAAAACGCCAATTTTCTTTTGTGTAGCAGTAGTTGTTAACTGGGTGAGGTCCGAAAAAGTTATAGAAAAGGAATCAGAAATTATTCTGCATATTAAGTACCTAAGAACAGTGATATATTACAATTGCCAACTGAAATAAATAAAGAAATTAAAGCATTTAGTGGACAACAGTTTTAAAGAAAAGTGAGTGATTTGCTCAGAGACCGAGACTCTTGTTGATGAGGATTCTAGAATTTCCACTTTTACGCTATCTTTCTCAAATGCTTCGAATAGATAGCGTTATAAGCACTTTCCTAAGCGTCTGCTCACTCAGGCGGTTCTTGGCTAGAAGTAAATCGGCCAGTCCCCTTGCTCACCCTCGAAGGTGCCGGCTTCGGATCGGTTGTCGTGCGCTTTTCGCGTCTCCATCACCGTGCCGTACATTTGTCGTTGTTTTTGCAATAATTCGATCGTCGGCATCTTTGAAACAACACATGATTGATAGAATGTCAACTGAATCTGTGTTTTGATGAAGTCTGCGTAGCCAGAACAAGGAAATTATTGTAAAATCATCATAGGTCTAATTTCTGACGGAAATAGCCAGTGAAAAATCGTGAAAAAAAAATGGACGTAAAGCATATCGTAAATCTTGTTAAACAATCTAAGTTCAAACACAGCGATGCTGAGGCATCTGCAAAACTCTGGATCGCAGGTGCCTGCGGTGGGGAACGAACGCGTTATTATTACCCTTTTCGAGGGCTAACGCGTTCACCACCACACCATGCGTGTCCTTCATTTCGCCTGTCTCTTAGCTAGTTCTTTCGATCAGTGCCATCTAAAATCTAAACACAATAATGTAGACGGTTTGTATCATGGAAACCGAATTGGTTAGAACTAGTTTTTAGTAATGTCGAAGAAATGACAACCTACTAAAACGTTTATATATGTGAACTGTTACATTACGATACCTGAATTCGGCGTTGTTTTTGCCGAAATCGACAGCACATGCACTTGATACACTTCCAGCACTGAGAGTAGCATGCGTCCATGAAATTCCGATATGTGTTGTGTACCCAAATAATACCTCCTTAAACCACATTGGTAAGCGGTAATACTAGTAATGTCTTTAACCGAACGATTCTACCTAAGAGATCTCGTACAGGATAATAGTGAATTTAGGTGATAAGGGTGAACAATGGTGAGCTTAGGTGACACATCTCCAGACTGCGGATAGGGTTTGGAGATGGCAAGTGACGGGAACAAATTGATACTTCGCTGGTGATCGCTCGAGTCATTCGATTGTTAGAGGATTTATAAGGATTCAAAGCACAGTCATGCTGAAATGTTCTCAAGTATTCATGGCAAGCAGTGGTAGCGAAGCAACAGGGTTTTCCTTGGATTCACAAACGCTGCGACTACCTGTGCTGAAGAAATGGGAACTCTCCTAACATAGCTATCCTGTGGGTCCAAAAAATTACGGTCAACTGCCATTCACTTTAATGAGAAGAGATTCTAAAGTTGTTAGCACACTCACAACTAACACCAACGCCTTCTTAATTAACAGTTGCAGAGTAAGGATACAAATGGAGGAAGTACTGAAACCCAAACGACATCGAGAACTGTTCATCAAGTTATCTAAGCATAAAGACGGCAGTGATAAACAAACTTCATTTATCGTCACAACGCCTCAAGACATTCTGTGGGCTCTGCACGTTCAGAGAATGAGAAGAGTAACAGTTGCATGTTTGAAAAGTTTTTACTAAATGCAGCAATAGACAATGTTAGATTTTCTCGGTATAGGCGATCTGACCACTCTCCTTTACAATGAGGCGATAAACATATGTAGGGGTGTAGAATAATTAATAATAATACTAATAATAATAATTAATTCTAACGTAAAAAAACACCTAGTTTGGAAATTTAAAGCCCAACAAAACACTCTACTAGGCACGCATAGGGCTCAAAGACATAACGGAGAAAATTTTGAAGCAAAACTCACTATGCTTGTATAGGAAACTAAACTAACAGTACACGAAATTCTTGAGGCACTTTGGATAAATTCGAAAAATCCAAAAGTCGTCTGCAAATGGGAGTGGCTCGTGATCACGCGACCGTGACCTTGCGCCAGACCTCAGGCAGATTTTTTGAGCTGAGACAGGAACATTCCTCGCCCATGTAAAACTCTATGCGGCTGGTCTCCAACAAAAGCTAGAAGAATTACAAAGGACGAAACGGTGGGCGTTTAAAAGAAGCTATCTGTTATGCTGATGAAATTTATGTAATACTACGTTTCATCTGCAAAGGTTTTGAAAGTGTTTGGCTGAGTGGATTGCGTGTCAGTTTGATCCTTCTCGGCTTTGAAGAAGCGAAATCTCCGAAACATCAGCCAGTATTGCGTTGAAGAAATCTTATTATTAACAACCTAATGTCTACTCAGAAATAAAACACTGCCTTATTGGAAAATGCCGAGCTTAACAGAAAGTTGGTCCTTGGATTAAAGCCGGAGTAATTGTTGTGAATGTGAGGGCGAAATTTCAAGAAAATAAGGCTGACCTGATAAAAAGCGTCCCATATCAGCAATGGTGACCAAAATGAGAGGTATGCCGAATAATGCATAAAAAATTATAGCTATTCGCCCAGCGTTGGTTCGCGGAACGATGTGACCATACCCTGAAACGATGCTGACCAATAGATGTGATCGTCTACGACCGGTTTTTGGGAAAGTTTCATGCAAAGGCATTCGTTGCTAACGAGGCACATATGTTTTTGCAAAACAAATAGAGATAGAACCCGCTGAATTTGTCCAATTTTATTGCTTTTGTAGTTTTTACATGAGCGACCCCTACTATGGGGATCCCATCATTTCTTTCATTCAATTCGCTTCATCATTCCCATCATCAGCGGAGATCTTTGTATTTGTGCGGGGACTCATTTGTTCCTTGAAGACTTCCGGTCTCTTCTACGAATATCGCTAAATGCTGATCGAGTTGACTCTCTATAGAATCCTGCGATATTAGCTCTACGGTATCCTCAAGTTTTCAACCCATGCAGTCCCCACCTTTTATGGATCGGAGAAAGCTCTTCCCAAACATGTCTGGTACCAATTTTCCCACCTCTGACGGATAGGAGGGCTGGAGTTCCGCCACTAGTTTATAGAACTACATTAATAACCCCTAAGGTTCCAAAGGCCGGAGCTGGAGGTGCCACTGCGACACACACGTGGAATCGATCTCCGCGCCCATGGCCCACAATGCTTTCCATCCCTTCGGGGTCGGCAAATTGGTGCTAGACTTATTTCGGAGGATAGCAGCACTGGCTCGATACATCAGTGGGCCACCGCAAGTCACTGTAAAGGCCGGATATGCATTGAATCACCTTCGAACGATATTTAATTATGTCGAATGCGTGGCGCATCCCTCAGAGATTGATCAACGCCGAAAGCTTTATCCTTTTTATCCTTTTAAAATTCCAAAAAGTCACAAATGAGTAGAAATGGTGGTGCACCTTTCGAAACGACTGCTGATATCATACAGAGAAATGAAAATGAAGTGAACCTGGAAGTATTAAGGACAGCAAACAGCCCGAATCATCACACAAATTAGCGTATACCCCAATATCAAAAATTCTGGATGTTAAGGCAAAATCGACATTTTGGTCAGCTTATGACTGTATTGACAGATAAAATATTAGTCAGAAGAGAGCTCTAATTGGTGAAGTATTCAACGACGTCATCGGGAAGTATTAATGGCCTGGATTCCTTTACTACATCTTCTGGTCTCAGTCATACTAACGAAAGGTTGTTTAAAACAACTTCCCCATTATCCTGCACTTCATTCCAGTTTTCAGCTCACAGCAAAAGACCTAGATTCCATACTATCGGAAAGACACATGTCAAAGTCATTTTAAAGACATTCTTTCACAAATTATAGATGAATGCTTATTTTTTCAACACAGTAATCACTTCAAAGGGCCTCAATGGTGCAATGTGTAATCCACGAGCCCCTGGAAAGGGCAATCATGGTTCAATCTGGCACGGGATCCAAGAACTGCGAATGTCTCAGCATCGCTGTGGTTGTAATCACTTCAGTTCTTACATTCTGTGCAGTAATAAATGAATGCAAACCAAACCAAAAGAGAGAATCAAAATAGATGAATAACCGTGTGCATGCGCATGTCAGCTTGCTCAAAGCTCTTATATAGGGTTGGCAGAGAAAATATTACAGAATTGGAGCAACACAGACGCCGTCGCCACCTGTTCCGTGCGCTTAGGGTTCTCTCTGGCCGTGGATTTACAAGCATGTTGTTGGGCATGGGGTAGCCCAACTCCCCAGGCGTGTAGGACACTCAGTGAATGTGCTTGTTTGTGGCCTTATGTGCTGTGCTGATCACACGTCAATGTGATTTTGATGCACACCCATAAAGGATGGCGTCGACTGCGCGCCACAGAGCACGCAATTCCCCACGGGACCGCCTCCCGGTGCTCGCAGCGACAAAAATACATAGAACATACGCAGCGCAAATGCCAGTCAAAAATTTCTTAGGACACCCTTGTAAAAAAACACAAAAACATTTGGAAATCAGATGCTCTGAGTGTTTCAACTGATAAGAGAGCGCCGACACGCACAAAGTCCTATGAGACGTGTATCGTTACAGGCAACGCCATTTGCACTGTTTTTATGCAGTAGTATAGAACACGCTAGGAAGTATGGAACAAGTTCTGCAATTACGTGCAACCGTGCTTTAGACGGAATGAAGAAAACGTACCGATGGTTGTAATGGCAGTCCATGAAAAGAATACACTAGAACCAAAAGACCATTTAAATGGGCCTGAGCCAGTAATAACGTCTTCAGGAGTCATGTAGTTCCTAGTGTAATCAATAAATACATCACGAATAATGTCGTCCATTCTGAAAAAATGAGGAAACGCACTACTAGCAATGGCTTTGCCGATAGATACTGAGTATGGGGACTCACGCGATCTGCGCTCGTTCGGCCCACAAGGTGTACGGAGTGCCATTTCTGTTCATCTCCCACAGATCGTCGATGATCCGCTGCTTCAACGAGTGCACCCTGTGCGCCGTCTCGTTCCGTAGATACTCCTCGAACGGTTTCTCATACTGTAAGTAATGAGACTCAGTAAATGACTTCGATCCTCATCTTCTTTCTGTCTATACTTTAACGGAAACAATAATATCACTAGGTTGAATTGAATGAATGGATTCGCAGGCTAATAAAAAAGAAATAAAAAAGCGGAACTTAATAGTAATAAGTAGGACATGGACGTGGACAATGGATGCGAAAAAGAAGGAAACGAATCGAATGTGGGAACTGCTGGGATCCGCACAGCAGCCGTAAAGACGGGTCATATTAAACAAATAAAGAAATAGTAGTAAAAAGTGAATAGACGCTAGAAATAGCATCCGCCTTCGTACTCATTCATGAAGTGTTGTCTTCAAATATTTACTGCAAAGAAACCATTACTACAGCGAACTTGTTTATCGATGGAAAGTACCTGGCTTAAACTACTAATTAAACACTAGATATGAGCTTGCTGCAACCTCTAGTGTACTCTACTGTCACCTACTTAATAGTTGAATGGCGCGTCCTCACTGGTTGTGCGGACCCCAGCATAATCTCCATTTTTCGGAGATTTGCTGGTTAAGTCGTTGTGGTTCCCTGGAATCCCGAGGTCGGCCTGGCCAAAGTCTGCCCCAGGTCTTCACCACTACAGGCAGTCGCCGCTCTTGTGGATCAGAGGAAGATTTGCCACCATACGACTAGTTTGATTCAAGGACGGTGGTGGATCCTGGTATTGGTTTACTCTTAGCTAGGCTTCCTGATGGAAATGTCAGACTCCCTCTCAGCTTGGGAGACCCCGCCAGGGGATGAATTCCCCATTGTACATCGCAGTCCGACACCGAGGAGCACCTCCCAGCCACAACGAGGCGGTAAACCGTTGGGAAATACTCTACTGTAACTAAAAACAACATAAAAGATCCTTGAAAAGACATCTGAGCAGCTTCTATAACACAAAGACAAGCCGTTAAGTGACTAATTCGAAGAACCAGAATCATAAGATTTTTTGCTTATTCCAACAAGCTTGCTGCAAATAAGGAAGTCAACAGAAACTCCAAGAGAGGCTATGTTAAAATTTTTTCAAAACATGGATCAGAAAGTAACTTCGAATAGCTCTGATATTCGAAAAATATAGCTCGAATTGGAAAAATCGGACCACCATAATGAAAAGATAAGAAAAAAAACGTACATGGTGAAAAATCGCTGCACCCAGTAACGTGTAAGTAGCGGAAAGGATGACAAGGCCGACATGAGGTAGTACTATGCGAAGATTCTGCAATGAATTCTCCTCATTTTAACGATCACCAGCAAAGGTTCTCTAAAATGTAGGCGCGATTTATAAGAGAGATTCCTCTCGTCGTCCCGGTTTGCTGTTTACAATGTTTGCCGTTATCCAAAGGCAAACTATTGATTAGTCCGGACTATGCAGTCCAAACATTCTCACAAGAGTTCCAAAGAAATGAAATGAAGAGCGCGGGTGTTAACAATTTAACAAACGCTTTTCGAGGAAAGCTTTGGAGTAGGGTTTAGAGGTGCTTCGCAATACAAACGTGTTCCTTGGTTCAATCTCGCGTCTAGGGATCACCATGCCTTCAGTTTCCCCTCCCTTCATGGTTGGAAACTTTGCATCAGACTTGTCGGAGAGGATAGATGGCAACACTGACTTTAATCCACTTCCCCTCGCCGTTTTTGTGGTTGGTCAATCAAATATGGGCAATTTTTTCGCGGTTGCTGACTTTCGGATATTCTTTAGATAAGAAATCTCTTTTTTCAACAACTGGAAGAGTTAAAGGGTTCTCAACATGATATGATTGTAGACGAGATTTCTGCCAATGGTTACTATGTGTTAGTACGGTCCGTATTGCAAATGCATTGCTGCTGGCATTTCGAAATAATTCACAGTTTACGCTGAGTCTATTTCGGTGTTTTACCCACATATTCTACAAAGGAAAATATTTTGTAAAACATTAAATGCAAGGAATTTTTTGATGGTCTCACCACTCCCATTCTGACCTGCTTTTGATTACCTATCAAGTGAATATAAATAGCGCGGTGAAAAAAAATTCTGAAACTCACTAGACTTAGTATGGACATTGTAGGATATCTACGGTGCAGAATGGGTTAAGCATCGGTAGACCATGAAAGTCGTAGTGTAGGTTAGATGTGTATTCAGTCATCTCTATGATACTTTATGAAGTCGAGACAAGCAGATTCCTCAAGGATTGATGAAAACCGAACGCTTTTTTTACTTTCTACACTCTCATGTATTCCCGAAGAATCATGCCATCCCACTTTTTACATCACCATTGGTTTACGCAACAACAGTTCACTGAAGTATTTTTTCATGTGCTACTATTTTATGCTCACTCTTCCACGTTACACCGAATTCCTTCTCACTAATGTATCACTCTATCATATCCATCTTTCAAGAGCAGGCGAGGGTGCTTGCTAACAACTTATCTTTCACTGACTCAACGCTACGTATGCGTCTGGAATAGAAAATTTATGCGGCAGAGCAAGGACGCATTTCACTGATCTATGTAGCCTGAAATTCGGGGGCGAGCTGCTGTCGCCTCCTTGTCCGCACCACTTGGTCCATAACTCCGGCTCCCCCTTGGGGACCGAACACGCCTCCATCATTCACCAAGAAACTCCCATCGATTCAAGACCACGACATGTTTCCATGTCAACACACACGTTGACATCATATAGATCAAAAGTGGGTCCTGGACTTCCGTCGAGTCAGCGAAAATTGCTTAGAGTCTGCATCAATTTACGAGGAGGTGGCATAGATTACACCAACGTTTAACAGTGAACAAAAAGAAGCGCTAAGACGATACACGGGCCCTCCATTATCAAACACTAGTTTTTATAAATTTGTGACGACACTCGATGGTACGATCATCATGGTTGATTCGGAAGACTAGAAGTAGAAAAGTTACAATAACCCTCCGATCAATTTCGTGGAAATGAGAGAAAATAAGGTTGTAGGGTCATATCACTCGCATCTTCGAATTAACTCAACTCACTGCTCTGGTTATGAGATCTGAATGATGAATGCTATAGACGACATCAAAATAATGAAAAATCTCAGATCTTTTTGTGTAGCTCATTCTTCAGATTTTCGGTGCAGTATATCTCAGATTAAAAATATTACCATTTTTAACCCTTACTTGTGACGATACCGATTTATCTGTAGTTTCTCCATTAGTCAGGCGGTGGAGGATTTGGGAAATTTAAATGCTTATGGAAAAGATTTTGCACTTGTAAACGGAAGATAGAGTTTTTAAAAGCAACAACTAAACGAAATTTACACTATCAAAGATTTCCACACAAACGCAGCTGTGGCATAAACCAATGAGTGATAGATGCAGTTCATTTCGGAATACTACTGTCTCCGTGCCTGAAGATTGGTTTGCTTGATGGCTATGATGTTCAAAGTATGAGTTTCCATAGAAAAAAAGCGAAAAAGTACGTTTCGTAAACTGAAGAAGATTCCAATGCTATCTTTTCGAGACGATGATTTGAGTCGATGGTCCACAGTTGTTCGTGTTCTCGAGGTGGCGTCTTCGTCGCGCATCAAGGCGGATGTTTTTTTGCTATCTTTTAGAAACAGAAGAAACTTCTTGCTATTAAATAATGGTCTGTGGATTCGAACTGCCTCTATCGCAACTCATAAGGCCCAAAAATGACTGAAATCTGTTGGTTTGAAGTTGAAAGTGGTCATCGCTTTCGCACACTCCGCATTGAAATCATTGCGTATCGTTTCGAGTGGGAATGGCTACTTTCACCTTCATGATGAAAATGCTCTACGAGCATCCTGCAATCCGTTAACCCTAGCCGTCTTGTCGTTAAATTTTTTTTTCAAGAGTATTTTAGCATCAACGCAAAATGGCAGTGGTGTTGGTCAAGAGATCTTCTTCTTATTCTTCAGTTTCAAATTTCCTAAAGAGTTGAGCAGTCGCTTGCAAAGTTTAAAGTAGTTTAGATAAGATGACACCCTCCCTTAAGTTCGAATTTCAACGGAAAGTGAAAGAAGAAGAAAGTAGGGAAAAATGCGAGAAGAGCGAGAGTTGAACAAAAAGGAGCAGCCAAAGGTTACAGTGTACGGGAAAAAAATTCCCACGAAAATCCATGATTACAGAAGAGGAAAGATTAGAAACTTGAGAAACGTCGTCTTGTGATATTCATAATTAATTGCTTATAACGCAGGCAGAGTTAAAAGCAGTAATAAAAGGAAAAAATGCATCATTTCAAAGTAGGATCGAGTTCGTATACAGCCAGTTCCGACGCTGCTATCCATGGGTTTTGTAGATCTCTGTTAACCAAAGTGACGAGAAAAAGAAGAAAACACGAAAAAAAAAGTGATGCGATGATAACCTGTTTCCACTCGTCCCTCTTCTTCTTTTTCTTCTTTTTCTTCAGTGATTCGTCGACAGCCTCCTCTTCGCGTTCTTCGTCGTCATCGCATTCCTGACGGTCAAGGTACAGATTGAGACGTTCAGCACTGAAAAATTGTTCCAATTATCCTGTGAACTGAGAAACCAGAGAAAAAATCCGTCACAGCGACTGGGACGAGCTGCCCGTCTGTTTTTCACTTAGCCTCATCTTTTAACTTTGATCGTTGAGTCATAATATTTCTCTCTTCTTGTTATTTTTACGCTTTGTTGCGGCATTTTCCACACTTCTGCCTTCCCAGTTTTTCCTTGAAATTATCTGGACAGTATGTTAACATTTTATTTTCTGCCTACTACAATTCTCCACGGCAGGGTATGATATAACTTACAACCACAACGATGCTGAGTTATTGGCAAAACTTGGACCGCGGGCCAGATCAACGTTTCAGATTATCACGGGTTATTGCTGACTGCAGCGTTAGGTAGAAAACTAGATGAGAGAAACGCAGATCAAGGGCCTCTGTGGTGCAGCGTGCAACGCGCAAGCCTTCGGAAAAGGGAATCATGATTCGATCTGGCCCGGGCTCTAAGTTTTGCGAATATCTCAGCATCGTTGCAGTTATCTAGACAGAAATAAAACGAAATTGTCAACTAACTTCTATGTTAAATTGTAATGAATTGCTAGATTAATGCGTTGCATAGTTTAGATGATTCAACGTATCGCATAACGCAGCACTTGAATAATTTACAAACGTCATCAGGAATAGCTACGCTGTCCTCAGTCAACTAACTCCCTCTTTTCTGGATTCGTTGCTGTCGCTGCCATCTTGGAAGAATCTGACTCTCGAGGCAGTGAATTTTCCTGATTTCCCCAACGCACAGCGATTTCCACTATTAAAGATTTAACAACAACTACTTGCGGTTTCCACAGAAAACCATGCACAAACAGCTCTCAACAAGGAAAGAAGTTGCGGCCGAATCAACACCTTATCACGATCACTTCAATGGATGATGGTTGTGAAGCAAGAAAATGAGCAAAGAAGTGCTATACTTCACAAGTTTATTTTTATTTGTTTTAGTTTATTATAGTTTACATATGAAGAGAGCTTATCTAGATCTCTACGCAAGTAATGTGATATAACAGCACGGCTCTGAAGAAGACGAAATCGCCGAAACGTCAGCCATCGACCAACAACACCAACAACAACGACAACGGAGGCCTATACCAACCTCGTATCAGCTCAATAATATAATATAATTAATCAATCAGTAAGATATAATATATCATAACGCAAAATAATTCTCTGTATAGCAAAATATAATGTAATGTAATTTAACAAAATGTACTGTATTGTGATACAATGTAATTTAATACCACGTCGTCTTGTTGATTACAGAGCAAAATGAAAACTGTTCAGAAACGATCATTGCAATGAGTTCAAATGCGATATTGAAAACCAATTCCACATTAACACCTCCCTTCATTAGCTTCATTGGGAAAATCGGTTTAATAAAACCTTTAAGACAAACCAAAACATTCGTTCACATCGATTTTGTCGTTCTAAAACACCACTCTCAATGCACAGTTCTTCATTTGGGGCTTAACGCCATACTAAGTATCGACGTCGACAGTGATGAGCGTGTTGGAAGCGAGATCTATACCGAAGAACTTCTGCATGCCTAATAAAGCGCGAGGACTATACGTAGTCTGTTCTTGTTGGAAGAAGAACACAACATTCATTCAGACGTTTTCAATGGCAAACCTTTCCGATTTTCCAATTTGAATAGTTAATTACTCAAATCAACCAGTTTTCATGTTAAAACTGTGATGGATGGAAAGAAACACCATCTCTCCAACGTATGCTTCAAGGAATGGCTCTTTTTTAGTGTTACAAACGGCGTTTAATGGGCACAGTTATCCAATAACGTCCTGCATGATCTTCACAGTCTCCGTCGTAAGTTTACCACTGAATGTCTTTGGTATTAACATGCATTCATTATTAGTGTACGTAATCACAACACTTCAACAAGATTATGGCATTCGAAAATCTTGAGAAGTTTAGTAGCCTTCCTCTACTCCGTCTACGCAGCGCTGTCTCATCAGGAGCTACACAGGGTTCGCTGCCTTACGTTTTCCTTAATTTTGGGAATAAATACCTTTGACAAATTTGCCAGATCTGGAAGGTCTGCATTTTAAGCCTGTCGTGCCTTTGCAGAATAGATATGAAGCTTCTTTGCTGGGGTATACTTCAAATTACTTTTCAAGTAATTTCACTCGCTTGAATTGCAAGGTTTTTAGTTGACGTGCGGGTTATAAATTGGCACATACGTAATCACATTCACCTATGTATTACGTCTTTCCACTATGCCTAAGTGGAAATTTATAAGATAAACACAGGTAGGGACTTCACGTTTAACAAGAGCTCTGGCTTGGTGAGGGTATAATACTTACTCATTTGGGCACCTGGTAGTCCTGCCTTTACTGGTTGTGCGGGTGTCAACAAAATTTCCATTGCCTCGAAGTTTTGCTGGTTTAGCTATTGTGGATCCCTAGAGTCTTGAGGTCAGCTTAGCCAAAGTATGTCCAGGTGGTCACCATTCCATGCAGTCGCCGCCCTTGTGGGTCAGACGGAGATTTGTCAGTATGCGACTAGTTTGCTACCAGAACGGTGGTGGATCCTGGCATTGGTTTACTCTTAGCTGGGCTTCCTGATGGAAAAGCCAGACTCTTTCTCAACTTAAGAGGTCTTGCCAGGAACATCAATCCTTCCGCTGTACATCGCAGCCCGACACCCAGGAACACCTTTCAGCCACGATGAGGAAGCAAACCGTTAGGAGGGATTTGAATATTAAAGATTGAATTTATCAGATATCCACGCAATTTCTCTATTTACAGCTTACATAGCCAGCCGAATGGAGGTGAGAAATCGGCTTTCAAATCTGCACTTTCTCTCTGACTGCAGACTCAATAACATCAGATCCAACCAATAATCACTCAACTCAAGAAACACATAAAAACTTCCATCTGAAATCACCGACTAATGAGTTAATTCATTTTTTGCACAATTGGCGATCCATATGTCACATCTTTCTCCTGTTCATTCCCGTAAGCCTCTCTCCTCATGTCTGCTTATTGAAGAAAATCATCGAATTATCTCAAATAGATTTGCACGACCAAAAACATTGACAACAACCAATTCATAAAAGGGTGTTGACTCAGCACACCCAAGCAGGAGGAGTTGGTCCACTCCAAACAGACAATCAGTGGAAATCCAGCAGAAGCAACAACATAGTTTGACGCTTAGCGTCTGCGGCATCATCACAGACTATTCCTATTGCCACAATCTTCGTCATCATTCTCTGATATGCTTAGAATGTTCACCGAAAATCTTTATCGTGATTCCATCGGTTAACTCTCAGTGAGCACTTATTGGAAACATATGAATATCTAAACCCGAAAGTCTAAGTCCGTGGGATGCTTCCCCAACTACTTGAAGCCTAACTCGTCAAAGCGCACGATATGAGTTTGCATCAACCAGTGCCGGGCAGCTTGCCAACCCATTTGCCACCTCATATTCTCCTGAAGCCGACACGAAAACTATTCCTAGCTGTCGCGTGGAATCGTCAGATACAAAAATATTAAACAAACATACTGTACCACACAATCAAACCTTATAAAGCGCGGAAAGCAATTTAGTTGGATAATGGAAGAGGATTTTTTCCACCCTGCACAAGAGATGAATGGCGTCGAAAAACATGAAAAGATATACAAAATATCAAAGAAGCAGAAAATAACATAAAAATGCGTAGAAATTAGAGAGAAGTGGGTGGAAAACCTCAATTATATCGAACTTGGTCACTGCGAAAAAAATCGACTGCACCCATTGCTTTCAATGCAAAAAATGAGGATATTCTCGGTGTAGTAATTGGGCACCGGCCTACTGCGATATAAATTTCGGCATAATTACGTATTTGTTAATAATATGATACTTTCGTACAAAAAAACGAACCAAACTAGGCTGAGGAAAGAACGCCCAAAGTCTCGTTATAAACTGGCGAACATTACTTATTTAACGAGGAAGGAAAGGATAATAACAGATTCGATCCTCATCGCAGGTACATGCGATGCGGAGTTTTTCATTTTGCATCACTAAACATCACATTTTATTTGGATCCCAGCATTTTTTTCCGATTTGTTTCCTTACATACGTTATCCACACAAGGTCTTCGAATTTCGCGTGTGAATTCAGATGCTCTTTGAGAACTTTTGCTCTTCTGAGTGTCTTCAAATGTTTACCGAGTCGATTTTTCTTGGAATCCTAAAACTATCGTGCATTTCCAGGTTTCTGTCACGTTTTTTTTAACTATATGGAGCTTAATGGGCAGGGACAAGGTCGAACCGGCTCTCTGCGCATTTGTGTGTAGTGCAGTGGTAGTGATGTGTCCAATTAATTACCACAAAGACGGTATTATTAAGGGCTTTCAAAGAAAACGTATGTTGGGAAATGTTGGCGCTCACGGCCAAGGCAAAGCATCCTGAATCGTCTTCAATATCATCAGAGATACTCGAATTCTCGCTGGACTCATTGCAAACCCCTGGCGTGAGTGTCGGCATCTGCGAGGAGCTGGACGTTTTGTGAGAATGGACAAATAGGATTTCGGTGGTTCCGGGCAGCATTAGCTTTATTAGTTGCACTAGCGCCGTTGCAATGCTTATGATCGCGAACGTGACTAATTATCAGTGAATCTCATTTGTGTCCGCTCGTAGAATGAACACCATAGAGCACATATTCCCGACTTAAGACAGAAAAAAACCGCCTCCGTCGGCGGTGCGTGTGGCGTAGTGATTGTAGGAGCACCTCATTATACACGCGAACTTCAGTTCGATCGCACACCTTGTGCTCGCCAAGCTTTCAAGCTTGTAAGGCTGGAGGACTGAAACAAGTTGCGCTTGAGAGGATAGAAACACTGACTTGATAATGCTTAACTTTTTATGTATTGCCTGTTATTATTATTCACGACAGGATATGATGTAAAATGCAGCCACTACGATTAGGAGATATTTGCAAATCTTGGACCGCGGGTCAGATTCGAGCCCGCGATTACGCTTTGAGCAGCTCACTGTAG